GGCTCACTGTTGCTTCCGTTTCCCCTCAGCATTCACCCCGGTGAACAGTGTCATGGGAGCACTCTGTGTGCGGAGCACTGGGTCAGGTCAAGAGGAGTGTATACAGTTGACCTGCCTCCTAGGGGCGTATGCTTGCCTTGCGGACACAAGACACACACCAAAAAATGGTACTGATTATAAAAGGTAGGGTTCATTCAGTCTGTATTGGACCAGTTACACTGTAAGTTTCATGATGGTTTGACTCACTGTGTACGCCTGGCACCTAGTGCTGTTTGTGCCTGGCACAATAAATAGGACATTTGTTAAGCAGTTGCTCTGGTGTCCGCTCCCCGCTAGGCTGATTACCGGGAAGGACAGTCCCTGACCTCTAGAAGGATCGGATGCTTAATACAAGATTAAATGATTCATGTGGCAGCTGCCCTCAGTGCCCTAGGATGCACAGAGCTGGGTGTGGGGAGGGCTTCCGATGGAGAGGGGCTTGAACTAGGTTTGTAGTACAGGGGTGAGAGGGGGAGCGATGTGATTGGAGGAGGTGGAGAGCCTCCTTAGGTCAGTTTTGGAACTTTAATTCTGCGCTGCCCCCAGACCCTTCCAGGTAGCAGGAAATGAGGAATGTTTTCTAGGCTGGAGTTTCCACTTCATAGGCTAAACAGATACCATCTCCTTTCTGCTGAAGCAGAGCCTGAGACCTCGGAGATCAGTCAGGGTCATTCAGTCAGTGGGGTCCTTGGCCTCCGGGGTGAGTCCTATTCCCAGTAGTCCAGTGTCCCTACTGTCACAGAGACTCTATTGGGGGGCAGAGGCAGCTTAGAATGACTTAAATGACCATGACCAGGACTGCAGTATTGGGAACATAGAGGAAATGGTCAAATTTGAGAGATCTGTAAAGACAAGATTTCAGTTTTGAAACAAGCCACGGGTTGTTCCTTAGAGTAGTAATGTGTTTGTGTTTATTATGGATGTTTCAGCTCCCATTGGTGAGAAATGACTGCCATGTCCTAGGTTTGGGGACATGTTTCTCAGAAAATGCCAGGGCCGGGCATCCCGGGAACCTGCATTGCCTCCCCACTGACATCTCTTGGGGCCTTAGTATGAATATTCAGGCTTCTCTGGGGTGTTAACGAGAAATGAAGCGTAGGATCCTGTGCAGGTTTGTCTGTGGGGTGTTTGAAAAGCCCCTGACACAAGCTGAGTAATTGCCAGTTGTTGGACTAGGAAGAGCGTAACCACATTTCAGATATTTTTAAATGGCCAGTGGAATTGGGAGAGAGTCTAAACCCAAAGTACAAATTTTCAGTTTAATTTTAACTTTGCACTTAGCTCACACCCAGGATTTGGCAGGGGGAAACGGGCCTTAATTTTTTTTTCTTTTTTAAGCAGAATATACTCTGGATGTGAAAGGGATATTCTCTTCCCGTGGATGGGTTTAGAGTGGTAGACACCAAGTTGAGGTGAGAGGGAGTGGGTTGGAATCGCAGCGGGAGTTCAGAGTTGATTTAAGGAATGTTGGGTGGGCTGGAGGTTTTGAAACCCTCTAGCCTGCCCCCAAGCTCTAAGAAAGTGTGGCACTCCACAGAGGCAGAGGACAGACAGAATGACTTCCACATGTCGGCTGCTAGGCTGGTGTCTTTGTTTTTCCTGTTCGGTCCTTTTCAGACACTTCACAGGCAGCTAGTCTACCATCCCCGGTGTGACACATCACCCCACAAAGAGGCAGTGGGGTTCCCCCATGCGGTTTGGGCTTTTTTGGTGATATCAGCAGCCTGGGGGGCGTGGGCGCTAAGCTTTGATCTCTCCCGCTCCTCTTTGATCTCACCCCAAACACTGCTGACACCCCCACCAGGAAGGAAATGCAGAAACCGTGGGGATGCAGGAGGCCCCAAGGACCTGACCTGGAGCAGCCAGCTGGCCCCCCAGGTACCACAGGCTTTCCTAGGGGACTGAAAGCAGCCTCTTGTTGCTTGGGGAAGAGCGGTGCCCTAGGTCCCCCAGCCCCTCTCCAGAACCTTATGCCGCATTGTCTGTACAAGGGCTGGGCTGGGGTTTGTGCTTTGGTTACGGAGGAAGTGTAACCAGGGTGGGGATGCTGGGAGGGACCCCCAGCTGGCTGGTGGAGCAGGTAGAACAAGGCAAAAGGGAGTACGCACAGTCAGGGGAGCTTGTAGAATTGAATTGGGGGGTCTGGGAGAGCCTGTGCCCTACATTTGGGGATGTCAGAGGAGCCAACACCGACCACCTTGGTCCAGTAGACACCCTCCTGGGGCTTTAGGTTAGGTGTTCCTGACATGTCTGTAAAATGGGAGGGTGCCCTGCCCCATGGAGCAATTGTGAGGATTAAATAAGCCATCTGGGGAAGCACTGAGAGTGGGCCTGGGGGGGCCTCACCAGGAAAGATCCGATGACTGTTAATAAAAACATTAGTAGTGGTGGCTTGCGTATTGCCCCAGAGAGCAACGGATCTGGTTCGGGTGTGGTGCTGGGAGCTGGGACTGGAACCCGGTGTCTGCCTGTAGAATTGCCAGGCAGCACTGTGCCTCTTCGGGAAAGAGGCTGCCTTCTGCCAGGAATTCCCTTGACTCCCCAGTGCCACCTCCCCCACACCTGGGGCCTCCTCCTTGGCTAACAGAGGTAAGAGGAGAAGCCCTGGACCCATCTGGAGAAACCGCATCTGACATCTTTGAGGGTGGACTGGAATCTCTTCATATCTGTCTTTGTTCGGTGGAGCTTAAAGGATCCCCAGGGCCTTCCAAGGAGACAAGTCACTAAAGGGGCGGCAGGCATGGGATAGCTGCTCACTGCAAGGGAGGAGCCGGTCGTGCCTCCCCCAGTGCAGGTGGTCGCCCTCCGTGTGCTCCGCTCCCCTAAGGCCTGGCTTACTGGCTCCACAACTGATGTCCTGTCCTGTGCAGAAGGCCTCACAGGACTTATTCCCAGGCACTCTTTCCAATGACCTTGAGAAGGTGGCTTGACCTGGCTATCTGGCCTCTCCAGGGGATGGAGAGAGGGGGAAAGGACCTAACTTCTCTCCCAGACCCCAGGGAAAGGTGGGCCTTGGCAGCCAGTGCCTAAGGCCAAGAGCTTGTTGGCACTGGGAGAGAGCTGGCTCTCCTGGCTTTGCCCCTCCTGGCAAATTGCCACCGCCCTGGGCTAAGCGCTGTGCCTCTCTACCCCAGGGAGGAAGAAAGCAGGGCAGCTGTGGGGCTCTGCCACCCACGTATTGCCCAAGCTCCCTGGTCTGCCCAAAGGCGAGGGGAGACTGAGCAGCGGATAGCAGGCTGCTGTGGATTCTCTTCCCCCTTGGCCCAGAGATGCCCAGGTAGGAGGGGCACTGGAGGACCACGGCAAGCAGGTCATTCTGGGCCCTGCGGGAAGAAGCGAGGCAAATGGCCTGCTCGCATGGGGGAGCAGCCCCGAGGAGCCCTGGGTAAGGCCCTTCCGCTACCCAGGAGAGGAGAAGAGCCTGGGTGGCCAGAGTGGGCCTTTGGACGATGTGAGGCCGCTGCCGAGGACAGGCCTGTACCGCGTGACTCATTCCTGAGAAACCAGAGCCTGTGAGTGGCAGTCCCAGGAAGGCAGCACATCCAGGCCTCATCAATACCTGTTATCCTGGAGGCCTTGGGGAGCAGGTGGGTGGGGAGGCTATATCAGGCAACAGGCACAGCAGCCTGGAGGGGTCACCGTTAAGGTTCCTGCCAGCCACGGTGCTGGGCAGGAGCAGACAGCTGGGGGCATCTGCCTGGCCCCCCTGCTGACTCCCCGGGGTCTTTCCCAGCCTGAGACTTAATACTCTTCCTAAGCTTGTCTCCCTACCATCTGTACTGGAGCTTGGAATCTCACCATCAGCTAAATTTGCCTTTTAACAACCAAATGAGAGGGTAGCTTTTTATCCGTTTCTTCTACCTCATTAGAAGTAAAGGATTTAGAGGCCAAATTTTGAGTAAGAAGAGAAAAGGAGAATCTAAAAATTCTAAAACTGCCTCCAGGGGGGACAGACGGGGCTACCCAGGTGCCTCAAAGACTGACTTCTGGCCTCTGCCAACCTCACCATTTCATTATGGACCCGCCCTAGTTTTGTGGGTTTCTAGTGTCTTCCTCCACAACTCCTCCTGGGGCCCTGGAGAATGAGGTCTAGAGCCGTGCTGTCCATAAAGGAAACTGCATGGATCTTTACCCTTAAATTAATAAAGTAAATAAGCCCAGTTAGTCAAGTCTCACCCGCACATTACAGGTGCTTGGTGACCACAGGTGGCTAGTGGCACCTTCTTTGGACAGGTTTTCTTCACTGCAGGAAGTTCTGTTGGGCAGGGCTAGAGAATGGAGAGTTGGAGGACTCTCTGGTTGGCTGCCCACCCCTCCCCCCCATGGGGCAGGCCAAGCAGGTGACAGTAGCGACCATAGCCAGACCTGGTGGGCAGGCTCTGATGTGGTGGCAGGAGCTGGTGAGAGCAGGTGTACGTGTTCTTCTTGGGACCCATCAGCACACACAGTGTCCCAGGCACATGAAAGAAGGTGGGGGCTGAGGATGGGAGTAGGTAGCTGGCCTCGGGAAGGCAGTCAGACTGAGGCCACGATGGGCATGGGGTGAGGGGTTCTAATGGTATGGGTGATGCTGGCCGGAAGATGGGGAGTGTGGTGCTTTGTGGATGGCGTTTGGAAGAACGAGACCATAGGGTTGGAATGAGACCATCAGCCCTGCCAAGGGCGGCAGCCTGAGTGTCTCCTCCAGTCCAGCCCATGCTCCTGTCTAGGGCAGCCCCTGGTTCTGCAGCTCTGCCCAGCCCAACCCTCCCCTTCCTTCCCCTCAGGATTGCTAAGGGCAGGGACACCAGAGTGGCATTGGCACTGCAAAGCCCCAGCAGAGCTAAAAAAAAAAAAAGTGCTGCTTTTAGTGTGATAGATGGTATTCTGGGTCTGTCTCCCTGTCCTCTGAGGAGGCCTAGCGCTGGCCCCTGCCTCCGCTGCCATCCCTGACTCCGCTCACATGGCCCTTCCCTTTCCAGGTGAAAGAGCTTGTCCTGGACAACTGTCGGTCGAATGAAGGCAAAATCGAAGGCCTCACGGATGAATTTGAAGAACTGGAGTTCTTAAGTACAATCAACGTAGGCCTCACCTCAGTCGCAAACTTACCAAAGTTAAACAAACTTAAGAAGGTAAATAGGGTGAGAGGAGCTCATGTGTGCAGGGGAGGCAGGGGTGGGGAGGAGGAAGGGTTCATTACGTTGTGTTCAGGGAGCGTAAGTGAAGGTGCAGCCAGCTCTGAGCACCAGCAGGCCTGCCGATGCCCTGAGCCTGAGCCTGAGCCTGAGCCTGAGCCTGAGCCTGAGCCGACTTCCTCTCCCCGCTCATCTGCAGAGAGCCGGGCGGCTCTGAACCCAGAGCCTTAAGAGCTGCTCTGCTTTTCTTTTTTTCTCTCCCTGCCTTGTTTAGCTTGAACTAAGCGATAACAGAATCTCAGGGGGCCTGGAAGTATTGGCAGAAAAGTGTCCGAACCTCACACATCTAAATTTAAGTGGCAACAAAATTAAAGACCTCAGCACGATAGAGCCACTGGTGAGTCATTTGGGTCCGTGCGGTGGGAGGTGGGAGGGATTGATAACCAGGGAATATGACTTTTGCATTTGTGTAATGCCCTTTTTTTAAATTTATCTTACTTTATTTGACTCTCATTATGTGCTTTGAGGTAGTGTCAGAGTTACTATTTCTGCTTCATCCATAGAGAAGTAAAATAGCTTGAACAAGGTCACACAGTCAAGTGAGCAGTCAGGGTGAAGGGCGGGGTGGGACCCTGGTCTTGATTTCTGGGCTGGTGCTTTGCCTCTTACAGTTCCTCCTCAGCTTTGGAAGTCTGAGCTGTTATTTCCTCAGGCTTAGAGCATGGCTCATTGTCTCTCTTGCGGGGTAAGGAGCCATCCAGGAATGAAGCTAGCCCTGGAGGTGCCCACTGTTCTGTCCTTGGGTCCAGGGCCCCTGGGGTGGCAGAGCTCTGTGTGGTACGGAAACCTCACACAGGCCTTCCTCCGTGGGTGACTCTTGCTGTGACAGGCACCAGCATCTCAGAGACCTGGGCAGCACTTTTCAGCTTCTCTGCTCATCCTCGTAGACCTGAACATACCCCAGACTTCATGGATTTACTAGTCAGAAAGGGACAAATCACCGTAAGAATAACAATTTCTAATCACCTGGATCTGAATGACTTTATTCCCTTGGTGTCAGGGAAATCAGCTATAAGGTGTGTCATTGAATGAATAATAACTTTTTGGGGAATATAGAAATGCTACCACATTCAGTAAACATATTTGCTGTAAATATGTATGTAAGAATCATTTCATCAGCCATGCGTCTTAGAATCAGGAAAAGGTAATGAGGTTATTTTTGCCAAATTTGCTGTATTTTCCTTTTCTGGATATATAGGATGGAGTTCGGGGCATCTCTCAGTTAACTTTCGTTGGGTTCTTGTCCAAAAAAACACTCTGCTCTTCATCGTTGCTTGAGGAGCAGGTTGATGAACCAGGGTAACAGAACAGGAAGCTGGCATTTCTTTTCCAGGCTCAAGCTTTACCTGCACATCTGGGGCATGGGGTCAACTATTAGAATATTCCTTCCACAGACCTTGCCTCCTGAGGGTGGGAAAGGGGGGTGCAGGGCTCACCCATCCAGACCACAGCCCAGACTCCTTCCCTGCCCTTGACCTTCTGCTAAGAATGAACCTTCTTAGTTCCCCTCTGGTTGCTTAGTCACGGGGGCAAGCAGCAGAGCTCCTGGCCCATGCACAAGAGAGCCCCAGGTTAATTTCAAACCAGTCAGTGGTAAGGCAGAAGTTGTAATTGCAAAACAAAAGTGTTGGCATTGCATGAGGCTTTATAGATCCTCAAGTCTAAGCCCTCAGAGAGGGAACTGAGGCCCACCAACCAGGGTGCAACAGCAGAGCCACGCCGTTACCTCATCACCCACGGGCCTTGGGCTCACCCTGCCCCGCCTGTTTCCCGGGGTGGCGTCCCTCCTACCCTTCCCCTCCCCACCTCACCTCCCACAAATCGTTCACTGTTGACTCTTTCTCTGCTTGCAGAAGAAGTTAGAAAACCTCAAGAGCTTAGACCTTTTCAATTGTGAGGTGACCAACCTGAACAACTACCGAGAAAACGTGTTCAAGCTCCTCCCACAGCTCACATACCTCGATGGGTATGACCGGGACGACAAGGAGGCGCCCGACTCGGACGCCGAGGGCTACGTGGAGGGCCTGGACGATGACGAGGACGGTGGGTGGCAGGGGGCAGGGCTAGGGCAGGCCTGAAATTCTCCCTGAGGCACAGGGCTCTGGGGGGCTGGGTGCTGGGAGGCCCCCACTGGCCACTGAAGGCTGGCTGGCTGTGGACTATTTTCCAAAGCTCTGGAGGGGTGTGGGGCTTTGTTTATCTTTGTCCCTGGTCTGTCTCATTGGTTGACTCCCCTAAAAGAACAGGGCGTGAGCCCTGGAGAGAGAGCCTGAGATTCTCCCAGCTGCATGGTAACTCCTTAAAACCATCCAACTCAATCTACCTTTTTCAAAGTCCTCTAAAACGCCCTGTCCCTCAGCTGCCCCACAGTGTGTCTCCATAGTATAACCCTGGACACTCACAGGGAGGGGGTGAATGGAGAGAGGAAGGTGGGGTGTGGCCTGAGGGTCCTTTTCCCCATCTGGGTGTCCACTAGGTGAGATGAGGGCAGGTGCTGGAGAGGTTGTGGGGCCCCCTGGTGGCTGCAGCCCACAGGCCCACAGGCTGGGACTTGGAGGTGGGGATCCCCAGGGGCTGGGAAGTGGAAGAGACTGCAGGCAGCACCTTGGGCTCCCTGGAAGTGGAGAACAGTCAGAACATGCTGGAAGGAAAGAAGGAGTGCCTTCTCCTGTCCCTTTTGCACCCCAGCAGAACAGTGTGGGTCCCTGCAGGTCTTCATGGCCAGAGGAAAGTTGAGAGTTGAGATGCTTGTCTAATTAATTCAGATGCAAGATTTTGTTTTTCCTTGTTAGGTAGTAATATCTTGCAAGATATTCAGACACCTTGTTTGCCACAGTTTGTTCCTTTTTGTGATGCAGCAAAAAGGGCCCAGGGACTGACTGGCATCCTGAGCCCAGGTTTGTAGGCCTAGCTCTGCAACTAACTTGGTTTGTGACTGAGTGAGCCACTACAACCCTCTGAGACTTGGAGTTCTCACCTTGAAAGCAAGGAGTTTGGCTTGATGCTCTAAATGGATTGACTTCCTGGCTTCCCTGGGCCCTGTAACTTGTTCCTCTGATATGGCACTTTCTCTGTGGTCTCAGCCTCCACAAGGGATCTTTCATTTTGTAAAACTTGGGAGGAGGGCTTCTCCTTCGGACCGCTTTAGGATGCTTAATCTTCTGGGTCACTTGAGGACGCGTTCGGTCCTGGTAGACCAGCGTCCAGGCCTTGGGCCGGGGTGGGTGTGGGAGGGTCATGGGCCCGCGCCGGAGCCCGTACCTCCCGTGGCAGGCCCCTCAGCTGGGGCCTCTGCTGTGGGAGGCAGGAGCCAGCTCACCATCCGTTTCTGCCGCACAGAGGAGGAGTATGATGAAGATGCTCAGGTAGTGGAGGAGGAGGAAGACGAGGAGGAGGAGGAAGAAGGCGAAGAGGAGGACGTGAGCGGGGAGGAGGAGGTAAGAGGCCGGGCCGGGCTGGGGCGCCATCCCTCGGAGTCCCCTGTGCTTGCTGCCCCGGAGTCAGTCCCTCCGGGTGCCCTGGTGATCGGCCTTTGGCAGCCTGGGGGCTCCGGTGGGGGAAGGAGTCAATTTCAGGGCCTTTTATTGGGCTGTCTGGGGGGAGGCAAGACTTGCAGCCAGCCCTGGGAGGGGAAGAAAGAGGGGACTGGAGGCAGGTGAGGAGGGGACTCACCAGCCCTTGTTCCTAACTGAAAATTACTCTTAGAGAATCCACATGCCCATTTTCTGCCTTTATGTATTCATATGTTAATTTAGATACTTACTGAGCACTTAGAGCATGCTAGAGAAAATCGGAGACTGCCTTGACCTTGATGGGTGGTGGGATAAACACTGCTAGATCTCAAACCAGAGAGTGACAAGGGTCCCTTGCACACAGTGGAAGTAGTGCCCTTGTGCTGACCCAGCAGCTGGTTCCCTGGTTTTGGACGAGGTCGGTAGCCTGTCTGTGAGGGGTGTTGGAGCACAGAGTTTCAGAGCACAGTCTGGGAAGGGGTGGATCCCAGCCCTACCCCTTGCTCGCTGTGTGTCCATGGACAAGTTCCTTGGGCCTTTTCTGAGCCTATTTCTTCATTTAAAAAATAGGTGTCCTTTTACAACTGAGTTGTAAATAGGGATCAATCAGTGGATTTTTAAAAGGATAAAATAATTTGTAAGTATAATGCTTAAGGATGGTGTCCAACAAGGGATGCTTGACCCCTTACTGTCTTAGGCTCACATGCCCTTTCTCCAAGGTCCTGGCTCTGAGTGCTGGGGGTATTGTGTTCAGACGTCTGCGTCTCTGTACTTCTTTTCTATGACTTGTTTGGAATTCTAAATCAACTCTTACTAATCCCCAAAGTTGGACCTGGGGAAGTTTAAAATGACAACATGGCCAAGGTACCTGCCCTGTCCCCCGGTCTCCCATCTGCCTCCATCAAGGGTGCAGACACCCGCCTGGCACACAGACTCACCGAGGCAGCGTCTCCTGGCCAGCCCACCCCAGTCTTGGGAGAGGCAGGTCAGCGTGAATAGAAAAGCCGGTGAGATCAGCGTGGTTCCTGCCTCATTCTGCCTCTGGGTTTCTCTCCTCCCTAGGCGGAGGCTGCTAGGCTCACCTCTGAAGAATATTGTGTCTTAAAAGTAAAGACTTAGAAAAACAGCGCGCCCCCCCCACCTTTGGGCAGGGCCGCCACCCCTGTTGGCCAGTGCAGCGCTCAGCCCGCCCTCCTTCCACAGGAGCCGCGGCAGGCAGGGCTGGATTTCTTTTACTTGTCCTGTTGCTGTTCTGTCATCTCATCGACCATCTGCAGATTTCCAGCTTCCAGGAAAGGACGGCTTACACACACATACATAAAAAAAATAAAACAGCAAACAGGCTGATGAAAAAACTATTTGGTGACACTATGAAGGATATTTCCCTTGACAGAAAGAAGTCTATCACCAAGTTCCCTTTAAACAGTGGGCTGTCTGATGTTTTAGGAACAGTGTTCAGCATGCGGAGATGCCACTAGCATGGAACTTAAGGAGCTGCCTAAAGCGAGGGTCTAAAGCGAGGGTCCTGTGTCGAGAGTGAACTCGCATGAATCTCAGTGATGTCCTCAGAAGGCCTTGAATTTATCCTCCCCTTCCCTCCCCTGCAGGCAATCCAAGTTTGCAAGATAGGGGGCTGGGTAGGGTGAGGTCGGACTTGCCCGCAGAATCTGGGTTTGCTCAAACTGGGGTCTTCCCGTGAAGCCAAAACTAGACTGACATGAAAGGACATCCTTCTTCACGTAAAAGTCAGCTTGGGGAACTTGTTCCAAGAGCAGGCCGACCAGGAATTTTGCATTATAAGAACTTCAGGATTCTTAACCTGGGGCCAGGACCCACCACCCCGCTGACATATCTGCCGATATTGTATGTGATATGAGGGTGTTGTCTGGGGAAGGGGCTTAAAGCTTTCTGCAGATTCCTGGAGGGGTTCTGGGTGAAAGGAGCCTCTGCTTTAGGTCCATCCCAAGATAGCAGATCTTGTGGGGCTCTGACAGGCTAGAGGCCACCTTTTTGAGGTCAGTGTCAGGGAGAGTGGCTTTCTCAGCATGTGCCTAGGCCAGGGGCATTCCTGATGTCCAGTGTTCTCTCCTAGGAGGATGAAGAAGGTTATAATGACGGGGAAGTAGACGATGACGAAGATGAAGAAGATCTTGGTGGTATGGCTGCCTTTTTACTCTCAGCTGATAGCGGGCTGGCCCCTTCGTTGGCCATAGATTGCATAGGCCCTGAGGACCTGGCAGTGGGCAGAACACGCCCATCTGGGGCCCCAGGTGCCTCCCTGGCTTTGCAGATCCCTTGCCTCGGTTTACCAGGGATGGCTAAGCTTCCCGGATGTGTGGCCTCCAGGTTTCCCAGCAGGTGATGTGAGTTAGAGATGGGAACCGTGTTGAGTCTAAAATGCCTTTTCTTTACTCTTCCAGAAGAAGAAAGGGGTCAGAAGCGAAAACGAGAACCCGAGGATGAAGGAGAAGACGACGACTAAGTGGAATAACCTATTTTGACAAATTCCTATTGTGATTTGACTGTTTTTACCCGTCCCTCCCCCAAAATCCCGCCCCCCGAAACTTATTTTTTTCTGATTGTAACGTTGCTGTGGGAACGAGAGGGGAAAAGTGTACTGGGGGTTGTGGGGGGAGGGAGGGTGGGAGAGGGTGGAATAAAATACTATTTTTACTGCCACTCTTTATTTTTATTCCCCCCTACTTTTTTCTTTGTGTCTGGTTTTATCCCTGTAAATGAAATAGCTGAGTACACACCAAGTGAGCATTTATTCCTTACTCTCAAAGAGGATGGTTTGGAGGTCTCTTACATTTCCTGGTATTTCCCGAGGCCCTTGGGTTGGTTGGAAGGCCATGGCTGGTCTCAGTCTGGTTTCCTGAAGCCCAGGAAGGCCTGAGCACCAGCCATGTCTTACCTCTTGCTCTGTCTGGTTCACGTGATTTCTGCATTTCTCAGGCCTTCTAGAGGCATCCAACGCCCTGGTTTGTAAATAGCAACCTAAAGGCGTATTTTGGCACTGGTTGGGGGACATTCCCCATCTCTCATTCCCTTTCCCTCTTCACAGATGGTGGTGGGCTTTGCTCTACAAAGAAGACTCTGATGTCACTCTTAAGAGCTATGAGCCAGAGAGCCGAAAACAGCAGGCTTATGAGTTATAAGAAAAATGGATTTGGTAATTATAATTAAAAGAGAAGCAAACCCTCTAACTTCAACCTCTTTAAAAGATTAAAAAATATGAAAGAAACTGTCCTTTCTCGTTCTGTAAAATACTAGAACTCTTTGTTTTACAAAATGACAGGAGAAATCTTCCACATGTACTTCTGTGCTTAGACCATTTTTACAAACCTAAACGCAGGAGAAGTTGCTGCATGTCGGCTGGGGTTTTTTTTCATACACCTGAGCACGGAAGAACTAATGCAAAATTGTATTTTCTTACCTAGTGGAAATCTGAAATGACTGCAAATTCCTAGTGAGTGTACAGGTTGCTTTCGTGTTCCTCTCCTGGATGGCTTTAGAAGTGACGTGTGATTTCCTAGCCCGTGTTTCATCTGTATAAAAACATCTGCACCGGTTTTTCTCCTCCCCCTCAGAAGAGCCAAGCTTTTGAGTTTTATGTCTGTTTGTCATTGATAAATTTCAATAAATCTTTTTATACAATTTTTTTGGGGGTGGCTTCTTTGAGTCCAACAGGTCATTGATCTTTCTGAGATGCATTCCAGATAACCTGCTAGTCGGTGGGGGGAGGCTTAACTTCAGTTACCTAGTAACAGCTTTTCTTACAGGATATGTAACGTGGGATACTAAGTTTGGGTGCCTTGGGTCTCAAAGCAAGACTTATGGGTTGCTGTCTTCATTAAGAGCTTCATTTTGGGGACAAAAAAAAGAAAAACAACCCAGGTGGTGGGGTAAAAAGATATAAAAAGAGTTATTCAAACACCTAAACCGTCACCAAGAAGTTAGGCCAACCTTGGAATCTTATTTTGAATGTCTGTCATTGTTTTGTTGTTCAGGCTGTAGAAAGCATACATGCTTGGAAACCTTAGGGATGTCATAAACAGATTTGTTCTTTTTTATGTGATGTTATAATTTTTCTCCACTTCTAAAGTGTCTTCAAAAGCATATATCTTAAATGGCTGTGTAGTAGTCCACTAACTATTCTGATTTTTTAGTTCTAGATAAATGGTCAGGTGTTTGGGCTATTTCCAACTCGTCATTACAGCGGGCATTCTGTTACACTTTTTGTGGATTTCTTAGTGCAAATGCTTAAAAGTAGAGTCATTGGACCTAAAGCTGACATTTGCAAGGTTCCGTGTTTTGCAGAGGGTTAGGGTTATTAGCTGTACTGTGGCAGTTTATACACATACATACATACGTACATGTCCGTCCTCAGTCCTGTAGCGTTGAACCCGACAGCCCTAGTTCCTCTGCATTCCAATAGAAAAAGGTGTTTCTCGGGAGAGACTGACCCATACAGCCCTCTGGGCGGTGATTGGACACCTACTGCCCTTTTCTTTGGAGCCTGTTCACATACTCTGGCTCCAAATGGGGGGTAGGCAGGTGGCCTCCCCGAGGTGGGGTACTGCTGAGCACCAGCGCTATGAGGATCAACTGGTCAGGTGTGCTCTGCCTCCCACAGCTGGTGAAAGTGGAACTGGGGCAAAATTGAGAGACCCTCCAGCCTGAGCTCAGGTTTTCTGATGTTGACTCCCCCACATGGGAGGTGATTCACATAGAGAAATAAATGCTATAAAATGTAAGGTAAAATGGATGATGATGAACGGGTTAATGCTAATGAGACTAAAGGTGGGAAACCCTACCTGCATCAGTCATACCAAGTCTTCACATCAACCCTTGAGGAAAGCTTACTACACCCATTCTGCAGATGAGGAAAAGTGCAGTTGAGTTACTTGCAGTTAAGTAGAGCCAGGGTGACCCAGATCTTTTGGACTACATTTCATTGAACTTAGTTACAAATGGTGATGACAAAGAGGAAGCTCAGCCATAGCCGGGGAGAGGTGGTAACAGCTGACTTCTATTGAGCTCTTGATGTGTGCCAGGTGCCATGTCTTACATGCAGCATCTCATTCATCCTACTGGATCCTCATGGCCTTAGGTAGGTGCCGTTACTCGTTACTAAGGTGGCTCAGTGATTCACCCAAGGTCACGCAGCCAGAAAAGGGCAGCGTCAGGAATAAACCGGGTGTGTGTGGCTCCAGAGCCAGCCATCCGACCTTGCCCTAGCGTTCTCCACCTTCCTCCCTGGAGCTGCAACCACCCGTACGAGCCAGCTGTGTTGAGGCAGTTCCTCGGCTTTGCCTGTCATGGCTCTGCTGACCGAGGTTCCCCCACTGAGTGCTAGCAGGCGCTATAGGACAGACCTTTGAGAGAGAAGGGCCCTTTGTCACCCAGCTGTCTGATTGGACAAAAGGGGACACCAGAACCCAGGGGGAGGGTAAGTGGTGTGCCCAAGGTCACACTGCAAGGGCAGAGCCCAGGCTGGACCCCAGGACTGCTGTTTGTATCATGCAGCTACACCGTGTGGCTGCCAAAAGGTCAGCTGTTGTGCGAGCAGAAGATAAATAGCAGAGTGTCTTCCAGGAAGAATGTAGCCAAGCCTTGGGTGGAGAGGATTCACTGGGTGCCGTGGCACATCTGCATGTTTTATGTGGCTTTGGAGTGCATCCTGTGTTTTTAAATGTTCACAGTGCATTTGGCTTTCTGCTAGTGTCTGAGGTTGATCGTCCTGAAAAGGGTGTGCATTTCTGGATAGAGACCATGTCTGAAGAGAGAGTAATGATGATGTTTCTAGATACTCTGTGTCACACAGGCTTAAAGGCACTGCCTCCCTTAATCATGCAGATTTATAGATGAAACAGGCTCTGAGAGGTGAGACACCTAGCCCAGCTAGTAAGTGACAGTTAAGCCTCAAACTTATCTTTCTGATGCAGAGACCTTCTTATCCACCGTGTTAAAAGAGCCAGGCAGATGAGTGAAGAAGGTTTGAGCAATTCAGTTTGTCTCATTTGCTGACTTGCAAAGGCTGTTTTTATCCTGGCTCAGAAACTCAATTGTTCATGGTTGGAAGGATTCCCACAGTGGGTCCCTACTAAGCAGCTCTGGACAATGGTGGCCCTGAGTGCTAGGCCAGCCCTTAGGCCTCTGTGGCAGGCTGAGTAGGTGTGAACAGGCCCAAGGATAGGCCTGGAGGTGGATGGACAGATGAGGGCAGGGCCCAGGTGAATCAGCCCGACCGAAGCCCTCCAAGTGGACCACAACTATGTGAGCAGGAAAGAGACTGGAGGAAGAGTCAGACCCGATGGGGACATCCATAGACTGTTAACTGCATCTGTAACTTAGAAAGTTGATGTGGGGGACCACCGTGGAGTTGCCTGCCAAGCCTCAGTTCCTCTTGGTCTGGCAACAACATTACAGGGGCCTGGGAAGGACTGATACAGATATAGACCATCCTTGTTTCTCAAGTTCAGATTGGGCTGACCCCCACATCTTCTCTGGTTCCTGGGGTGAACAAGCGGCCCAGTCCTGGCCAATCAGTGTGTTCCAAATTTGACCACAGTGACTGGGACAAGGACGGGCCCGGAACCCAAACTGGTTCATAAGGCTTGGTCCCTCGAATTTAGAAAATGAGAAACTGCCTGGCTGGGAGAATGAAGGCCTGGAGCTATAAAGGCATATCCCTAAGGGAGAGTCCGGAAGATTCCATTTCAGCCTAAAAGAGTCCTAATACAAGGAAGTGTGGACACCAACATGCATTTAGAACTTACTGTTTGCTGGCCATCTGACATTAATTTGCTTGTTTCTCATAATAACTTTATCTGGTTGTCATTATCCCCATTTCAAAGACTGAACATCTAAAATAGTACTTGGTAAATACTAGCTGCTTACTGCCAGACTCAACAATAAAAGCTTTATAAAAATCAACCTAGTGTTTCCCATATTTCCCTGATAAGAACCTCTGGGGCTGGTCAGACTGCCAGGCCTCACCCTGGGAACTCTGGTTCCATGGCTCTGGCCTGGGGCCTGGGAATCTGTGTTTTAACAAGAACCCAGAGGCTTCCCGTCATCCAGGACATTTGGGAAATCCTCCTTTGAACTCAGTACCCACAACAGTAGTGAGGAAAATATGCGCATCGAAAGCTGACAAAAGCGAGGTTCCTGAGAGGCTAAGTAACCTGCTGGAGTCGACACAGCTGTGTGTGCAAAGCTGGGGCTTATACCTGGGGCTGGATGACTTTCACACTTTTGTGGCAAGGGGCTGATGATAACCATCTGTGTATCACAAGTTGTGAGACAATAGAAAAGACAGGGAAGAGCATTGCAAAGTGGGAAGCAAAAACTGTTTAGAGATGCTGGCTTTATGAAAAAGAAGTTCAAGCAAACCAAATATTTTCTGTAACAAGATAATAAAGTCCTAAAAGCCACTTGGTAATTAAGATAATCCATGTGAAGTTTTTTAACCCTCTCTTTTAAAGTTGACATACAATAAAATTTGCTCTGTGTCAACCACCACAGTCTGGATACAGCTCATGGGAGATCTTGGTTGTAAAAAGAAATGGATTTGTGCACTGGGAATATCCCAAATCTTGCTGGTGGCCTTGGGAAGGTGTTAGAAATTTTGGCCAGGGCTCAGGAGTCAGGAGACCTTGTTTCCCATCCTGGCTCTGAGACTACGTAGCTGGGCTATTGCAGACAAGACACCCGTATGTCCTATACGAAGAGCAATCCAGTCTGAATGACCTTTGACAGCCAGTCGATAGTTTATCACTTTCTTTCCCTCATTGCCCTGAGTCTTCTAGTTGAGTCTATTTGAACAAAGCGGTTAGTGAAGGCGTTTCCTGCCGAAACTCTGAGGCAGCAGTAGGAAGGGTCAGTGAGAGAGAAACAGCCCCTCCCCTGAGGCGGGAGCACTCTGACAAGGAATTAGCAAAATGACTTCCTGAGGTTTCAACAAGTAGATGAGTAACCTGGTCTGTTCACAGCCACATTGCTGGGGTGAATCAGCTGGGCCAGTAAGGAAGCAGAGATAATGCTAATGACACTGCATGCTCACTGGTACTCCGAGCTTGAAATTATTTCATTTCATCGCCACAGCACGATTCTCCCTTGAGGTGGTTGCTTTTCTCCTGGCTTCCCTGATGAAGAAAGTTCATCAGTCTATGAATGTCCCCAA